CAAAAAATTGTTAACCTTTTGCTAACCTATTTTATGCCAGTGTCCGGCTGGATGCTTTTCCAAGAATTTTCTAGCATTTCCTCTTGTTTTTGGGTTCCCAGATTTCCTCAAAAAATTGTGAACCTTTTGCGAACCGAGTTTATGCCAGTGTCCGGGCTGGTCGCGGCGTGGCCCCGGCCAATGCCCGTGCAAGTGGATCGGCATGTTTCTTCGAAAGCGAGGGAACCCAAAATACAAGACGGAGCCCCTAGACAACGGCAGAATGGTGCCCAGATTTCCCTAAAAAACTGTTAACCTTTTGCTAACCTATTTTATGCCAGTGTTCCCGGCCAATGCCCTTGATTTTTTCTAGGAAGGCTCTTGGCTTTGTTTAGATCCACGGCACGTTTTCTGTTGGTTTTGTAGGATTTTCAAAGGCTTTTCCAGCAATTTCCTAGGACTGCTCTAGGCTTTGTCTAGCTTTTGTCACGTGTTTGGCTGGATGCTTCTCCAAGAATTTTCTAGCATTTCCTCTTATTTTTAGGTTTCCAGATTTCCCCAAAAATTGGTTAACCTATTGCTAACCTATTCTATTCCATTGTTGTACTCATGCCTACTCGCCGGTGGAACGCACCTGGCCGGGACAGCGCTCCTGCCGTCATGGGCCGTAGTGCGTACCGCACCCTACCGACCCGTCATGGCCCATTTCCACACCCTTCCGTCCCCCCCCGCCTCCGGGCCTACCGCACTGCAGACATTCCGCCACGCGCGCGTGCCGCCCTCATGTACATGGCTACGGTCTCTTCCCTCGCTGGCGCGAGAACCCCGCCACCACCTGCCCGAGCTTCCGTTTGCGCTGCTCCGTCCTAGAACCAACACGCCACATGGCGCGGACACGGGCGCCTGACAGGCATGCGAAAATCTTACCAGAGCCTTTCACGTTACCACGGGCACTGGCCGGACCTCGTTCAGCACATGAAAGGCATGAGTACAACAATGGAAGAAAATAGGTTAGCAATTTTCTGAGCAAACCTGGGAACCCAGAACCACCTTTGACATCCTACAACTCCCTTCTACACCCAAACCCCCACGATGTAAATCAAGTGGGATGGCAAAATCTTGGACAATCGGGATTTCGTCACTGCAACAGGGCTCCGGAGGGCTAGGGGAGGTAAGGTCTAAGTCTAAGGCTAAGGCTAAGTCTAACGCTAAGGCTAGGCTACGGCTAACGCTAAGGCTAAGGCTTAAGGCTCAGGCTAACATCGACAGTCACGCCTCACCTCAGGCTAGTCCCTGGGACGACCCTGCCACTAGCTTTTCCCCTTGGGGGTCGGCGGCTGCAGGCGGTAGCCTGGTAAATAATCAACATTTACATTTAAACCTGTCCCAACAAACCATTAGGAATTCTCTGCAAAATAGCCTTTCTCTTTGTTCGTATTCATATTTCCTATTTTCTAGTTCCCTAATTTCATTATGTCATTTAGAGAGGACATGTTATACTTCGACTTTGAACCACTGATGTCAGTTGTATGTGAAAAGTATGTCTCTACATTTTTGGTCAATGAAAGCTGTTTAACAAAAACGTAATAGTTATTCATATTATGTTTTATGACCGGTGTTAAAGTCAGGGGTGAGGAGTCAAACACCACATTGTATAGTATATATACAAGTCTGGGGGCGCAGCAAGAATTCTTGCAAAACACAAAGGCGCAGCCAAATCTTAGGGAAACAAAATGATAGGGCCAACATGCATTTCTTTTTGGTCTGCACCTATAGAGAATGTTGGGTAAAACATTGAACGTGCTGTGCCCTTCATTTTGTAAAAAAGATTAAAACAGAAGGTTTTCCAATGTGTGACACCTGATGAGTTGGGGAGGCCCCCAAAAGTGACTCACTTTGTGAAGAAGCTGACCTCATTTTGTAAGGCAGCGGCAGCAGCAGCTCTTTTTTCTGTAGCAGCTTAATCTAAGCTCCTGTTTTTACTTATATAATTATCCACTCCAAAATGCAGCTATTCGGTGCTACCACCAGTTCGGTTCTGCAGTGGCATCCCTATGTTTCAAAAAAGCGCCTTCTCCAAGAGTTCCAAGTCCATCCTTAGTCTATCCTTAGTGCACAGTACCTTAGGCCAAAACGAATTTGCTTTTACAACATGAGTTTACCGCGTTGTTAGACCCCCTTCACTGTCCCAAACAGGACCTTTACAAAATGCATTTGCAGACCTCCCCATGATCTTGCAGAAAGTAGTCCTTGTCCAAAGTATCCCCGATAAGTTGTTTTAAACAAAGTAAAATTAGTTAAAAGCTGGTACCAGCAGCTATTATTAGCACATTCTGCAAGGATGGTCCATTATAGAATGACCTTTGGAAAGTCATTTTGTAAGAGAACGAGTGGACCATTTTATCAAGGGGCTTTGGAACCCCGTGGGTATGTCTCTTACAAAATGGCAGTTTCTTTCAACATGGAATGGCACATCTATGGTACATCGGTGTTTGATTTTCCTTTATAACATGCATTGGTGCATCCACCACATAGTTTCTGCATCCAACAAGGAGCCAGAATGATAGGCATCATAGCCTCTTACCAAATGACATTCAAACTTCTTATATAATGACGTGGTCTGATCTTATTACCATAGCCATACCTCAAATATCTACAAAATGGGTACTGTCTAAAGTTCTTACAACATGGGCACCCCTATTTCCCATTGTTTTCTTACAAAATGATAGGGGTACAACCCCATGATTTCTTACAAACTGATACCCTGCAGGCAAACAGTTTATCCAAAAAATCGTGAATCCAAGCCCTGGCTGACGTCCAGAACCCCAAGATTCAAGGGCTTGGATTCAAGAAGTTTCCCCCAGAATCTTGAATCCCGCAATCCATCTATATAAAACATTCTAAAACTTTAACCAACAATTGACCTCAGGATGTGCAGAATTCACCGTAAATACCACTGAAAAGTACAAACAGGTAGGTCTCGCGCGGTGCCATTTATATTTGTACAAGGTTGTGACACCTTGTACAAGGTTGTGACACCTATATACTAAGGACTGCGACCGGGACGATGTATGTTGCCAGGGGTCACCATTCCATTGAAGCTGCATACCAAATCCCAATGAAGGCCACCCCAAGCGACTAGCCTTCCATGCAAAGGGAATAAGGACTCTCACCCCTCACAGGCTGTGGCACGGTGTGGCCCTCGTCGGTGCGAGTGGGTTTGGTCCAAATCCCAAATCCACGAAGACATGCCTTCAATTCTCCAAGTCTTTGAGCCCCTGAGCTCGAGCCCCTGAGTCCTTCACATCCAAGTGCCAAGTCCACGAAGCGTGGGTTTGGTCCAAGTCGGAGAATCCTGAGCTCTTGGAGCATCCTGAGCCCCTGGCCCAAGTAGATGCCTTCTGACGATCCCGGACGACCTGAAAAGACGGACGATCTGCCGAGGCATCGAAGATGCCGAATCCGCGTGACGAACGACGTCTGCAGACCCCGTGTGTCAACACATGAGTCGTATACGATCGGTTAACGGAAATCCCAGGCATGAACCGGAGAACATCTATCAGGGGGGATCTTTATGAATCCATACCATCTCAGCTGTGACGTCGGTCCAGCGTCAGCCTCCGTTTCAGCGAGCTTGCTGGCGAGTCAGGCGCACCAAAGCAAAGACACATGGTTGAGCACCTGGACATAAATATCAATCAGAGTCATATATCAAATATATAATGATAGATCAAACAGTTCGATTAAGACTTGGCTGGACATCAACCTTCCCATCCTTCTTGCCGGTTGATCCTTGATACTTTCGCCCTCCTGGGGTCCATGACTCCATGCACTTGGAAGCGGCCCATGCTGCAAAGCCGTTGGGTGACCAAGCGGCCCACCTCGGCGGTGTGGCCCCCATCCGAAGCGAAGGCCCAGAGTGACACGGCGTCCCGGTGGCGTGGTACAGTCCCGGTGGCCAAATGGCTGAAGATGTGCTACGGTACCGTGGTACGGTCCGTTGTCGGTCCAGTGCTACGGGCGTGGCTCCAGTACCGTGGTACGGTCCGTTGAAACGTGTGAACATGTGCTGAACAAGTTCCAGCAACGTCTTGGAGCAACCGGCCGGTGTCCAGTGATGTCTCCAGTTCTTGGAGCATTGGTTGGAACCGATGTGGGGTCGAAGCCTGGTCCACCAAGTGGAGGAAGACAGAGCCCCTGGGAAGTGATGTTTATAGAATCTAACATCATGTTCTTACATATATCATCTATAGTATCTAAACACACCTCACAAAGCTCTTGAATTTAGATGATATCAATGATATCATTGTTCAAATTCGGAGCCGCTGGGGTTCCACGTTCCGCAACAACCAATGGCTTCCCGGTGTTGAAGCCGATCGGCGCCGGTATTTGGGCGCTTACTTCGGCTGCGGCTTTGGCGCTTCGTTCGTGCACGGAAGAGTTCGGTCGCAGGATGTCGCGGCATTTTTTCCTTTTCAAAGCAGGTCTTTAAGACAGTCTCCTCGTGGGAACCTGTGGTCACTCAGGCTTGACACGGGTAGGAGCAGGATGGAGCCCTTTTTGTAAAGGATCCAAAAGGTGGGGGATCTCCATCCAAAACATGAGTTGAATGAGTTGGCTTTGATTCCACTGTGAGTCGTTGGCCACCTGAAGGCGTTCTTGGAGGCACCCACCCTGATCACCTACCACATCTGCTAATCTCACGTGCGCAACTGTTGAAGTCTGATCCTCATGCAGAACGGGTGAAGATTCACCTCAGGACCTCGATGAGCGCTCAAGTGAGCAGTGCTAAAGTGAGCACCACCTCTTCAGTTCTTAACCTCGTGTAGTTGAGATGTGGGATGGCGCGGTACAGCCAAGCCAACCAAACCCAGACCGGGCTATCCCGTAGTGATCCGTACAGCCCCGGTGCTCGCGTTGCTATTGGAGTGTGCGCCCTTTATGGTGGTGCTGTCGCCCTTATGGTGGTGCTGTCCCCTTATGGAGTCTGCACATGTCTGCACAGCAACCCTCGACCATCGACCATTCAGGATGTCGATTTCGCACGCGATATCAGCAGGTTGAGGCAACCTGTGACCAAGCCACACTCGGCGAACGTATTGACAGCTGCGTGGCCTTCACAGCTTCGACACTACGTTGGTTGCATTGGTGCTCAGACTTCGGCGTCTGGAGGCTTCCGGAAACATCCGGGAACTCTTGTTTTGATTCTTTGGAATGGTTTGATGTGGTGAAAAGACGAACCTCCAAACGCTCGGATCTCACTGATGGGCGAATCAGTGAATTTCACTCTTTCCCACAAAGCTGGCGTCTTATGAGAGGGAGGCGACAAGTGCCCCAGAGTTCACGAACATGTTTGAATCACTTTGGTCATCAACTCTATCACCTTTCCTTTTCAAAAGTACGATGTTTCTCTTTCTCGTCCGCATACCGGACAATCGCACTGTCGACGGACTCCCATTCTCTCAACGACAGTCTCTCGACATTATTGTATCCACTCGCCGTCCCAAAACTGTGCCAAAGGCAGCCAAAGCAAAACTACATCGCAGGATGGGGCCCTCCTCTCTGTTGAAATCTCAGGTCAGAAGACATGATCTGAAATGCGGGCGAAGACATTTCCTATAGTATAGCACCTTTCAAACATCGGGGAAGCAGCTTGCTCCTGCAATAATTTGCAGGCAATGTCTTTCTGATGACTCAATCGGGTCCAGCAACGCATGTTGCGATGTCAAGGGCACAGAACACACCACAACTAGACCAACACAGCAAAACTGCATATAACATGTACATAATATGTATATAACTAAAAAAGCAATGACACAACAACAACACATATACAGTGACATCGCAAAGTATAGACAAGTGAAACATCCCCTCATACGTGCGTATTCAAAGCAGTTCCTGTCTACTTGGTGCAGCTTTAGATCGCTGATAGACGACTTACGTGCTAACAAGTGTGGATGAAGTTACATGGGTCTTTAAGATTCTTTTAGATCTTTAAGTCTGAGGCTTGCTCTCTGGGTATCGAGTGGCTATTGATATCAACCTAGCCATCACAATGCGTTTCAGCAAACATCCCCCTGTCAGCTTGTCGAAGTGGGTGCTACAGTAACAAGTCCAATGAGGTTCAAGGATGTTCGAAGTACATTTCAGTCACACGCAACTGATTGTATATACTACTGGAATCTTGGCGTGTGCTATTTTTTTGGCTGTGTTCCGTGGTGTCTTGGATCGTGCCAAGTCTGGATAAGCTCATCTGATCGACCAAATGCTGAACTGGATATAACTGGATGGGCCCCTTCCTGCCCCGATGGCCGGTTTTGAGTTGGCAAAATGCCTAGCGCAGATCTGCACGTGCCCCGCGCGCCCCACAACGGCCCCAAAAACAAAACACAAGCAACACTTCTTGGTTTGGCAACTTTTGCTTGTCCGAGGATGATTAAATCATCAAAGGCTGACTTGGAAAGGACAGGACAGTTTTTGCACGATGTGTCATGGTCCTACAAACGGCAATTAAAAACTGCTGGTGTATCATGTTTCAATGTGTTTCAGCTTGCTACCCACCAGCCAGCAATCTCAAATGAGTCCTCAAGTGACCTCAAATCAAAGCTAGGTTTTCAGTGGTTTCTCGCTTCTACGACCCAAGAAAAGCCTGCGTTGCATTTCTTTTCGTCAGCCTGAATTTGCCAACAACTCCAGACAAACCCAGGATCGTGGGCCAAGTTCTAAGATGAGGCGATTGATCTGCACAGAAATGGCGGGAAAGTGGGCCAAGTCATGCATTAGATGCAGCTTGGCCGAGCAGAGTCGCTCCCTCATAAATCAAAGCACCTGTACTTCTTCTGCACCCAACCCCTGTGGGTCCTGCCAAATGGGCGGAATCAGTAAAACACCTGGAGCCTCTAAGAGCACTGAAAATGACCGAGAAATGGGTCACTTAAAAAGCATGCAACATCTTGAAACCGTATGTGGGTGGGATTGGGTAGGCAACAAGGAGCCTCAACAACTAACGCCGGGATGTTTAGGCTTTAGGGTCCTTTCAAAGAGCATCCTGCATGGTAGCAACACTATAGGGTTGTATATTCGCTGAAAATCATCACCTACAGTACGACCACCTCCAGAAGCAAGGCTCTCCAGGACGAGGCCCCCTTCGGCCCAACCCGGTGGGCCCCAGGACGAAACCACTCGGCGTTGGTGGCCAGGTCCGGCCGGGTCCGGCCCTTTCGGGTGTTCATCCGGCCGTTTTGGGGGGCCAAACGGTGCGGTCGGATGGAGCAGAACAGACGTCAATCTGGGGATTTCTGCCAAGAGTTTCGTGCGGTCAGCACGCTTGCCAGTGTGAAGCTGGACGGAACCGAAGAGGTGAGCTCGAAATCGACGTTCTCCATCCCACCAGGGAGGTGTTGTTCCATGTGTTTCCTATTTGGATCTATTTGGTTCCATCTTTCCACCGAACGACCGAGCCCTGCGTCTGGGCCTTGTAGACCATGAAGCTCACCTTGCATCCCACGGCCATGTTTCCGCTGGTGACGTCCTGGACGTGTTTCCGCAGTTTGAACATCCAGTATCATCCAGTTGGATCACGGGAGCCAACGGCCATAGCCCAAAGAGCCCAGGGTCTGGCTTCAGGTCTGAACACCACACGTCTTGGAAGGTTCATTCTCTCGGTCCCATTTCCTGGACCAACAATTGTTCTTGTCAGCTTGACGTTCCGAACTCGTGTCTGTGCTTCTGTGCCACAGGAAGCATTTCAATCATCCTCCATCCATGATCCTCTAAAGCCTCTAAAGATCCAAGGAAAAGAACATAAATCTCATTGTGCCCTTCATAGGAGTATCTTGACATGCCCCTCCCTCCAAAGAAAAACTCAACATCTGCCGTCCTGCCTTTTGTTTGCCAGTTTGTGGAACCATGAGTTTGGGCATACCGGTTTGGGATGGCAAATGCTAGAGGACAAGGGCTGAATTTAAAGAACATAGGCAAACTGAATACCAGATACAAATACGTGCATCAACATACCATAGGGTACACCGGTACACCAATTGCTCCCAGAGCTTCAGTTTCGGACAGACCAAAACCAAAATTGTTCCCGGCCAATGGTCTATGGGATAGTACAATATAGTTCTTTCTTGGGGGAAGCCATTCCCAAATACACTGCCCAAAGCTTCTTGATGAATTGCGCCAAAATGACCCACAAAGGACAAGTAGCATGAAAGGCTAAACCATACATGGAAGAAAGCATGAAGAAAGCATGAAAACTCTATCCATCTAAATCTCGGACGATCCAAGGAGATGGACCTACACATGACCTACACCACTCCGGGATCTCCTGTGGATGCCCCAGCAAGTCTAGGTCCAGATCTCTCACACTCTCTCTCTCTCTCTCTAACTTCGAAGCGAAGTCTGCTCCAGCCAGGAGTTGGCACTTTTGCTTTTGGGTCTTCAATGGAGTAGTGAATTTTAGAATCCTTCAAACCTAAAAAGGCACCTTTTTTGCATCAAACACATGTGTTGGTCCTTCTTGCTCACGTAGAGCTTTCCTTCCCTCTGCTTGGCCGAGGGGTGATCGACCTCCCCCGCTGGCTTCACCCAGCCGAAGTTCTCCTCGCGCCGGTCGCCCGCGAGGCTGTGCTTCACCCAGGATGCAAAGGCGGACCGGGCTGTTGACCCGGAATCCCAAAAACGCTAAATCTTCAACTGGAATTCCAAAGGATCATGCAAGTTCTTGTGGACCAATTCGTCTACTGTAATATAAACATTATAAAAACATCTATGGCTGTGGGCGATGGCACTTCGGAAACCGGTCGCGGTTTTTTTCGGTCAACCGACGTGCCGGGCCGGCTTTAGATGGCTTAGGGTGTCATTCCCCAGGGAGGTCAACCCA